TTAGAAGAACTGGTTTAGCCTGCATCATTTACTGCAGCCCGTCAGCTTATGTGAGCGTCGAAATACGGTAGACGTCGACCAGGAGGCCAGCATGCAATACAGAATATGAAGATAGAGGCTTTCGAGGAGGAATATTTTCTTTTGCAATGCAGTAACCAGTACCTTCTAACAGAAGTGTTGAAACTCTGCGGATACGGCGAACTTCACAAATTAGAAACGTTCTGCTTATGCAAACGGCTCAAGGTGCTAATCTCAGCAAACCCAACGACAACACATAAGTTGCAAAATACCACAGACCATTACCTGCTTAAATTACTCCTTGGAAAGGACAAGTAACTGGCCTTCCCTTAAATCAGTTAAATTGTAGTTATCGGCAAATAATATTCGTGTTTAGAAGATGTATATTTATTAAATAACATGTATACCGTAGACGTTTAATAGAAACAGAACTGTAACAGCATCTTGCTGTTACGTACAAAGCTAACGTTACGGTAAATACTCGATCCGTCTTCGTTCTTGCTGTAAAAACTGCCTCACTATGATCTCAAGGGCGAACTTACGTCGTTCAAATTGCTCACGTTTGTCGTCAATAATGTTACGAAATTCTGCATTAAGAAATATTCAATACTGCCTACGTTTACATACATACAGTCTTATAACCAACAGGGAGTATTTCTGTTATCGGAACATACTTTATCAAGCCTCCAAGGAAAAGTCTACGCTAATGTATTCTAAACTCGATGCTGCGGATCTGCCGACTGCAATATTCAACAAGAGCAGCATGGTGTTCGCTCAGGCCGAAGCACTTCTGACGCGATCTTGTCCTGAAATTGTCGGAGTTTGCACATCCGGTTTACTTGTGTTATGTAGATCTGGAGATAGCTTATGACTGGATCCCACCTCACGAAGTCTTGGCATGCCTGCAGATGTTTTAGATCGACCAATCCAGTCACTATATGTTGATAGCAGGTGCTGCGCCAGAGTAAACGGCATTAAGTCGAGACGCTTCAGTGTGGTGAGTACTACAGGAGCAATGAAACACGGTGGATAATTACATACTTCGTGAAGTCGTGTTTACTGACGATGGAAAATTGTAGAAGAGGTCAACCGGAGAATTGGAATAGCCAATGCTAGTTAGAATCGTTGGGATTGAACCAGAGCTGAGTCTGGAGCATGAACTCTCTATGTTCAAGTCGATCTTCATCTCCATACTAACCTAACCTGTAATCATGAGTTGTGACCCATGACTGAAAAACTTTCATCTCGGATAGAAGCTGCTGAAATGAGCTTTCAGCTGAGATGTATCGCTTGGTTCACACTTTTGGAATGGTGCGGAGTTCAGATATTCGAGAGTGCCTGCGTGAACAGCCGCTGCTTCTGCGGGTTGAGAAATCACAGGTGTGATGATGTTGACGCGATCTGCGAATGTTTTCATGAAGAAAGGCGAAACAGCTATTACTTGTTCGACTAACAGGCCAAAGACCATGGGAAAAGTCAAATATTACCTAGGGCTGGGTTATTCGACAGACTTTGGTTATCTTGTACCGATACTTAGACACTGGCACAAATTGGTAACGTTGGCGACTCCATCTGACGTACCTGCTTCCACGACCTGGAAGGATGTGGCCGTCAAAACTGATTGACTTACTTTTAATTATATTAAATACCGCTGTTTAGCAGAATCTATGTATAGCTGAATATTGTATTGCACATGTCTTCCTCCGCCCAGAGGACAGATAACCTGTCAATTTACTATTACGGCATCGCACCCGTCTATATCAAGGGAAGAATACGGGTATAAACTTTGAGTACTTTTTCATACAGGTGCATCAATTTGATTTGCAGTGAAAAAGCGATTTATTAATTGTACAATTGTGGTAATTTTTTCAATGTTCCAGTTGCTTGTTGATATGCGTTTTTGATTTCGTGATTTCATAGCACCACAGCAATTCATGCAACCTTATAATGCTCCCGGTGGTCAACAGCAACCCAGTACAGCTCCATATCCTACGAGCAATGTCGTTGGCTATCCTTGTCCGTCGCAGGGAACTACTTCTGCCCCGTATCCGAGCAATTTTCAAACGATGCCGCAGCCTTACCCAAATCAAGGTAAAACATTATCATTTTTCAGATATATTTGCTTTCATATTTTTCTCTGCGGAAAAAGTTTTATGTCCCTTCCGACGGTGATACAACTCAAGGCTTAAATAAATTAACAGACATTGCAAAATGATGAATAACGTGAATAATAATTGCTATGAAAGCCAGTAGCATAAAAACATCCTTCAAGTGTACAGAAAGTATGTTAATAGCCATCTTACTGTGAAGATGGATTTCAGTGATAGAATAACAGATATGAATATTGGTCTTCCAGAAGAATTGGTATTCGTCGTTTTCTGGAAGAAAGTGGTTTTACCATAAATATTTTTCTGTAAATTGTTGAGTATGGTAGTAATTTAAGGTAAACAGAGAGTTTAAAGAGCTATACATATATGACCTACAAAGACCGGTGGTAGAAACCATTCAGAAGCACCTTGTTAGACCAACGATACATTCATGAAGTAACTCTCGTATATTTAGTTTGTTTTTTGTTCGTAATTTCAAATTCCAGGTAATTTAGGCTTCGCTTCCGGCAGTCCGTACCAGTGAGCTCCAGTAATTTTTTCTGATTTCATGGCGACAGGATGCATTTTTTATTCCTTGTACTTTGTACTTTAGCCATCATTATCACGGACTAAACTTTTCGGTATTTTGATTTGCATCAAATTATTTTATTTATTCTGTTATTTCTTTGCTGATTACTTCTTTATATGCTTGAAATGATAGCTTATTATGCATTGGCTGCCAAATATATCAGTGCTTTCGAATGACTTTCAGCAAGCAAACTGTCACAGTGAACCTATGCGGCAAAGAACAAAAGAAAGAAGAAAAGCTGCACAACAAGTCGCAGGAAGGTCAATTTATATCATTTGGTTGCGTTCTAACTATTCGTTGTAAAGAAGTTTGTATAGAAAATAATAAAGAGCACTTTTCTAACTCTGTATGTGTGATTTTCAAGGGATTTGAATGAATTATATAAACCACGGTTTATAGTCTGAATCTTCATCAGTAACACATAGTCAAGTGATCAGCATTAGAAACAAACTAGTGGCGGATGCTGGCGATGGACATTGACCTGCTCCATGACCGGTAGACCTACTGAAGCAGTTTGTATTATTTGTTTCCAATTTTGTTTGCGTCTTTATTATCAGCGTGAAGCTGAGAGCTGGACTTCATTGCCAGTGTTTACAGTTATGTTGAAAGTCGTGGGCAGAAACCTCTGCTGGAAGCTTTGCAATGCGGTTAAAGAATATCAACCGATCACGTCATAAGGGAGACGGTAGTAAGTTCAGCGATAATGACATTTAGGCTAAAATCGTACACATCACGTTGAAGAGCTATCTCTCACTTCTCATATGGAAACCTGAAATTTATTCATATTCACCTTCTGCAACGACTGTATCTTGGCTGAATATGGTAAAACTGGTGGAAAGCAGGTTTATTCTGGTACAGTGTAACATGTTGCTCACCGACGAGATGCGGGACGGAATTAGTGACCGCGATGACGAAATATCTCAGATATGCAGTGTATGATGATTCTTACAAGTCGTTGACTTAGTGGAATTGCTTCAGGTTTTTACTTAGGGTGTTCACTGTTGAATTGCTGTAGGCATGTTTCTTAGGTTCGTGTTTTGCCATGAAATCTTCAAGATCAGCGTATTCGAATAATTACTGAAGGACGAAATAGTCGTAAAAGAAATTTGTAAAAGGAACCAGGATTAAAATATCGTCTCTTAAATCGATTTTTGTGATGTTACGGACGCTAACACGGTTACTCCAGTGATTGCGTCAAAACTTTAGTGCTTGGTCGGAGATTTCAACTGCATCCATTTGGCAGCACTCTGCTTATGCCAGCAACTCCTTTTTAAACAAAGGGAAAGAGTGAACTGAAAACGGCACGCACCCTGGGTGGAGAATATGATGGAGCAATAGAGTCCTCTTAAAGGGTCCTACAGGTCTCTAGAAGCAGAGACACGTGACAAGGGGCAAAGAGACATCATTAGTTGTCCTCTTGTAGTTGCATTGCTTGTTGGAAGAACTCCATTTATCCAGAATCGGAAACAACCATCTCAGTCAAGAATTTCAATAATATTCTAGGTTTACTTACAAAACGTTACCTTCGATGTTATTAGCTAGAATAACGAATAAATTCGGAAATAAGCTAATTGACTAAAGGCACGGAGAGACATGTTGAAAAAATTTGTGCTATAAATCTATCTAGTATGGCAACAATCGCCTTGCATTTCTGAAGAGATTATACATTCATATTATAGACTCCTTCCATTAATGTCTGAGTTTCTCTCAGTATAAGATCAATTCTGCTTTGTTTCGGTTTTGATCACTAAACCTCATATGCCTTACTATTTCGGACTGATTCCCTTCTTCACCATTAAATAAAACAAACAAGGAAACATTGTAACGGCTGAGAGTTTAGTCGCTTTTCACCATATCTCGTTGAATCCTATTAGACTAATGGTGTCTTGGCTTGAGCTGAAAGGCCACGGTAACGGAACAAAAACGACGACGCCCTTGGCCGTTTCTTAACGACTCGGTCGACCTAGGCAAAGTGACACGACACATCCGTCGCGGACAGCTGACGCCAATTATTTTTTCATAAATGGCCAGGAGAGTAAAGACGCGATTACGGTATGTGTGCAGTTCAGAGGTCAACGGGCGTGTGAAGCTGTCAGGGATGTTTCGTAGTGTGCACGGAAACAACAAAGGTCATGCGAAGTCCGTTACGTTAAATATAGCCGCGAACTGTTTGCACGCCAATCAGTGACGTGTGCACACATCTGTGCGCCATGCGGAAAAGCCAGCTCCGTTGACCACTGGTCAATGCAGACCGGTCACTGAATTGGTCGGTTCGCACGAATTCGTTCGTCGTGGTCGTCGAAGCTATGGTTCATGTAGCCGTACCGATCGGTATTCTTTTCTGGTGCCTTTTGAACCACGTCAGATCAAGAGCTGTGGTTAGCAGAACGTCTAACTTGACGGTAAAGGATCATATGTTTTACGGTGTGAAGACACTATCTGACGGGCGCGTCTCCATTACCACTCTTGCGAAACAAGCGGACGAGCACAAAAGTTCGTGGAAGACGGATACCGGAAACAGTGCTGCCACTGCTATCCCTAATTATTCCACAGATCTGATCTGGACCAGATCCGATGAAGGTCCTGTGCATTTCAAGCATGCATTTATCCGACAGTTTTTGAACGAACTCTCGCAGTCACTCGAAACGGTTGTTGACCAGGCCGGCGCCGAAGAAAAGCGAGTCTCGCTGACCACTGATGATTACCGTAATGATATTAAGGATTTGAAGCTGCAAATGGAGCGAATGATGAAACACAGTGCGAAAGCCGATGTCTTTACGAAGAAACTTGAAAGAAAAGATCATGACTATCAGGTAGATACGATGACCAGCCCAACGACGGCTGCCACCATATCATTACTGCAAGAAACAACTTTGTTGACTACCGGTAAATTCGAAGTTTCAGACTCAGTCGTCATTGGTTCACCTTTCCATCTGTCAACCTTACTTGATTCAGCTAGCACTGGTGGCAAAATAGCCATCTCTGACGATCTCGAAAGCTACTCTCCGCCGAAGCTTCTTGACGAAAAGCGTATGGAGTCAACTTCCGCTCCCTTACTCGCCGGCAACAGACGATCATTCATGGTGTATAAGGATGAGGTCATAACAGCTTACGTAAATCAGACACAATCGAATGGGACGCTGTCCAACAGCAACGTGTCAACTGACCTGAATATCAGCACAATTCTCCGAAGTTACGACAATAACAGCCAGATGGCCAACCGTACCACTGACCCCGTTCCAAAGGCACGCAAGGGAAATGAACAGAAGGAACTGCGTCTGTTGCGGCCACTAGTCATTTCGTCCGCGGCAGCATTTGTGATTCTTGTGGTCATGGTTGTGGTCCTTACCGTCGTGTTCTATCACCTAAACAAACCAAAGTTCAAGTGGACTCTGAAACATCGAAAGTTTCATGGACTAGTTCCTTACCTGCAAAGTGATTACTTTCCTCCAGGAAACGCACCGAGTCAACTACAGGGTTACTGGTTGAAATGGAATGATTCAAATTCACAAGCAGCGACGATGCAGATGGAGATTCAAGAAAGAACCTCGAACCGGTGTTCCAGCGTTCTCGACATTGACGGCGGCCTTAGTGAAAATTTGGTCAGCAGCAGTGGTCGAATGGTAGCATTTTAAATATCAGGAATTGTCTTGGAAGCGTATTATAATTATCTGCGTGCACTTAGATGAAGGCTTCTTACTGTCACGAAAACTTGTGATATCTGTAGTAAAATTTTGACAGCTTCTCTAATTTCGAATAGAGTCGAAATACGATTGAGGACGTCGTCCCAACAACCGTCAGTACTCTCATGCAGCTGAATCAGTCGCTGATGATGAGCTTTAGCTATCAGTTACACACTGAGATCTCTAAAGCAGTCATAGCACAACTGGAAACTCGAGGCATGATCGGAGTCATGTCAACGAGCAAAGAATTGCGTCCGATGAGAACTCTTTCCTTTCGTCCTTAGGAAGATCGGAATGGTTTTACTGTACGGTAAATCAGAACAGACTCTGCTTCGGACTCGAGAGTTCGACGAGAATTCTTGTTAGTAATTTATTTCTAGTGCAGTTTCCAAAATTGAAAATGGATGGTAAAACAAAAAGTTTACTAGGCAACAACTTAACATGAACATCTTTGGCAATCAAGGAGCTTAAAAATAGATGAAACACAAAACTGCAACATTACATATATGAATGAAAACCAAATGACTGACTAGAATAAGCTGCGAGGAACTAGGGGCGTACTGTGAATAAAAGCGGCATTCAACGATCTAACGTAATATCACAGAAGCCGATATCAAATAAATAGTAACATATACATAACGTATAAAACATAAGTTAGAAATTATTGAAAAACGTTTTACTGCGAGGAGTCATCTCCTGTCGCCTCAACTTAAACAAATACACATCCATGCCGTTGTCGATTCCCTTAACGCCGATGTGATCGCGAAACTCAAACTCGTACACGTTCTCCAGCATCTCCTTCGCATGACGACTAACTTGGATGCGGCCCACAACGCCGGTGGAGTACATTCGACTGGCG